GAAGACGCCGCCATTCCTCGCGTCTCCTCCCTGCACCGAGGAAAACCTACTCTCCCGCTCTCTGCTCGATCCCTCCTCCCTGCCTCCGACTCCCTCGATCCCGATTCCTGCACTCGCCTCTTCCCTGCGTCGAAGGTCGAATATCCGGTCTCCTGCTTCGAAGCCGCAGACCCCATCTGCTCTGCTCGATCCCGTAGGCCCCTTCCTCCACACGACGAAGCCGCTCCTCCCCTGCGACCCGAAAGCTGCTCCTCCCCGATTCTTCTTTTCGTTCGTTCGCCTTGCCTCCTCCTTCCTCTGTCGCCGAACGGACGAAGCCGAGTTCGACTCTTCCTTCCTCTGCCGCCGAACGGACGAAGCCGAATTCGTCTCCATTTCCCTCTCACGGCAAGATTCGGCTCTTCCCATTCGATCCTGCGAGCTCTTCCGCACGCAAAAGAAGCCTCGCTCGAGCTTGCCTCCTCCCTTCTTGATCGACAGAGCCCCGACAGAGCCCCCGCTACTGTCTGCGACTGAATCGACGCCCCCGATCCATACAGATCCGCTGCTCGTTCGATCCCGTTCTCCCTCTGCGCTTGACAGACCCTCGTCCTCCCCTCACGCAGCACCCAGCTCGATTCGACCTCCCTCTTCCTCACGCACGCAGGAGAAGCGCCCGAGTCTCTTCTTTACTCGACTGAAGCTGCTAGCCTCCTTCTCGCCAGCGAACAGCAACCTCGAGACAGGTATATTCTTCCAGTTATCTTATCTTATAGTTATCAAATTATTTGCATAAATTTGAAATTGAATCCTCTCAACATGAATATATTCTTACTCATTTTTGAAAAAAAATAAATAATATTTCAATTATATGTTATTGCTTATTTTAAACGCTCATTTACTGGTTTTATGTTTCAAGCACCTAAATGTAAATATTTTGATGTTCCAATGACCATTTACATGTTAATTTTAAATACTCACTTGTTAATTTCATGTTTCGAGCACTCGAAAGGAAATACTATGAGGCTCGATATGATCGTTATTCTAGGGCTTGAATGTTTCTTTGCAGGTCTATATTCTTTCATTTCCGAATGCCTCCCTTGGAGGCTGTTTTACATGTTGTTTGGTGGATTTAAACATTGCGATTTTTAGGGCTTGGTCAACTGATTCATGTACTATTTTAAAGACAATTTGTTAACTGATTTTGGAGAGTTTACACACTAATTTGGACTGAATTTCCTAACTGATTTTTGGACATTCAAAATTAGTGTTTTGGACTTATATGAGAGCTATTTGGGATTTTAAAATTGTTGTTTGGAGCATTTTAAATGTGGTGTTTGAGGCTTTTAAAAGTGTTGATTTGGAAACTTTAAAAATTGTTATTTTGGACCTCTCAAAACATTGTCTTGGAGTAGACTTAAACACTCCTCTTGAGGGTCAATTTAATTACAACATTGAAAGGATTTAAACCTTTTTTAGGCCGATTCACTTGCTTTTCCCCCGCTTTGGCTTTGCTAGTTTCGGAAGTGGGCCGGCCTTATCCTTTCTTTTATTTTTTTTAAATGGTTAAGTCAGAAAATGGGAACTTCTGATTTAATTAGTTGGAAAACACTTATTTGAGGGTTAAATGTCTTAAATCACTTTAAACACAAGTTAAAACATAGGCTTCTAGATTTTTAGGAGCACACCCTAGGTGAGAGCCCATTCACCTAATCTTCAGTGTAGGCTTCCTAAACTTTAGGAGTACACCTAGGTGAAAGTCCATTCACCTAGCCTTCAATGTAGGCTTCCTAGACTTTAGGAGCACACCTAGGTGAAAGTCTATCCACCTAGTCCTCAGTTTAGGCTTCCTACACTTTAGAAGCACACTCTAGGTGAAAGTCTATCCACCTAGTCCTCAGTTTAGGCTTCCTACACTTTAGAAGCACACTCTAGGTGAAAGTCTATCCACCTAGTCCTCAGTTTAGGCTTCCTACACTTTAGAAGC